TAGGCTTTTCCTACCTGCAGAGCGGGGAGGGGGCAGCTCAGGGGAGGGGGCTCCCTCTGTAGCACTGAATGCCCAAGGAGGGAGGCAGAAATAGGGCTTTCCAGGTAGCGTTTTGGTTTTTACGTCCTTTGGTGGGCCCCAGACGGTCCCAGGGGCAAAGCTCGGACAGACGGACGGACACCCACCCCAAGTTGTTCCACCTTGCGGTCTAGGGATTGGTTGCTGACCGATGCAGCCCATGGGATTATGACAAGTCAGAAAGAACATGTGCAAAGCAGGAAAAGGAGGGAAGTGGCCGGCTGAAGTTCTGTTCCAAAGGGCTTCATGGGCTCTTCTGTTGGTGCTCGTTCTGAGGAATTGTGGAAAGTGGGTGGTTCATTTTTCAAAGGTTCCTGGATGGATCGGCTGACCTGCTCCATGCTAGGATTTGGAGCAGGGCGTGCTGAGGAGATGCCCTCGGGCTGTTTTGTGTGAAAATGGAACTGCTGCCCTGAGCCATCAATGAACTCTCACCCTGATGGTGTGTGGACATGGGGGGGGCGGGGGGAGCTGACACTTTTTGGCTAGTTTAAACCCTTTCTAGCTGAAGCCAAACTAGTTGGAGAGGCCATCTGTTTCTGACCTGACATTTGTGAGTGAGGTCAGTCGGTCTCAGCAGCTGGTCGTGCAGACATTTGAGAGGCCATCTATCTCTTGGAAACCTGGAAGAGGACGCTCCAAAGCTCTGGAGGACCCAAGGCGGAGATTGTGCGTGTGTACATTGTTGGTGATCTTCAAGGATCAAAAACGAAAACAGAGCATTTGGTCATTTTATTAGGCACGTGGGAGAGGGAGGAAAGCGTCGCACATCTTCTAAAACCGAAGCCTAAGTTCCCGCTGTTCTCATTGTGGTCTTCGGACAGCTGCTCTTGTCACGGATGTGGCTAGCACAGGGCTTTGTCGTACACACACCGCTGCTGCTGTGGAGGCCAGCTCTGTCCTTCACCAACAGGCATAAGGGAACAGCGAGTAGGGGCTCCAGTCGGCCACCCCGCCGTGGCCAGCGGTTCCCTGGCATCCAAAGTCTGCAGGGAAAGCCCCATAGCTGGCAGCCCGGTACTGGCCATGTGCAGGAACCACCCACTGGCTGAAGGTCGGCTCGGGGGCAGAAGGGCTGCACATGGGCCGCCGGGGTGCTGGTTGGCCCCCCAGGTCGCCAGCATTTACCACCATCCCAGGATAGTCCTGCAGAGGCAAAAGAGGCAAGGAGAGGGGAGGCAAATGGCCACCGAAGCCGTCTGGAGCCTTGGGATCTTGCTCTGCAACCGCCGGGAAGTCCAGCTGGTGGGGCTGGGTCCAAAATTCGTTCAAGGAAACGGGTTGTGGGAGGTGGGCTGGCGTCGAAACATCACCCAGCTCAGGCAACCTGGCAGCAGAGGAAGAAAAGGTGACGAGGGAGGGAAGGAAGGGAAGCTGGCCTTCCCTGGGAAACGCAGCCCCTGGCGATGAGCTTTCCCCTGCCATCAAGCATGAAGCACTGTCCTCGGGACAAATTCTGGTCTCTCCCAGAAGCCCCAGGCCTTGTTTAGGAAGGAGGCAGCTGGGGCAGTTCCCCCTACGAAAGCAGAGCCGACTGGGAGGCGGAGAAAGACCGGGAGCAGGCCATGGGGAGGGGTCCCGGATGCCGCCGCTTAAAGGCCAAAAAGGCCTGCTCTCCCTTTGCGAGTACCGAGTACCGTAATAAAAATGGCCAGAAGAGGAAGGCAAAGGCCGCTTTCCAGAGAGGGAGGGCCTTCCTAGCAAAAGAAGCCGGCGAGCGTCTCCTTTCGAGGTTCAGCCCTCACTCTGGGCCTTCTTGCTTGCCATGCGTACCAGCAGGTTGCCCAGCAGTAGAGCCCAGTCCCCCCCACACACACACACACACACCACCCACCTCTCTGCCCAGGAGAGCTGGGCAGCCTCGTGCCTGGATGCCTGGGCGGTGCAGACAGTGGCGGCCAGCAGGGCCATCGGCCTCTCCTCCTCCTCCTCCTCCTTCTGCTCGGGGCCCGCCATGGCGCTCTGCTCGCGGTGGGGGCCGGCAGGGCCATTGGCCTCTCCTCCTCCTCCTCCTCCTCCTCCTCCTGCTCGGGGCCCGCCATGGCGCTCTGCTCTCCTTGCACCAGAGGCTCCGCGGGGACCTGATGGGGGTGGCTGGCACCTGGGAGCCACCCAGAGCAGCTGCTGCAGCTGGCAGGAACGGCGTAGCTCTCCTCCTTCACCCCTGGGGCCTTGCCCTGCGCAAGGTCTGGCACGTCACGCCGAAAAAGAGACAAGAGGGAAAAGGGGATGACCGGCGGGAAGCCTGGGTAGCGATGCCAGCTCCCCTGCGCCGGGCACACCTTTCACACACGCAACGTTGTGTCCTGCAGGGGAAGTGGGGCCCCACTGGAGTTGCAGCTGCTCCCCATGTGGAGGGGGGGCTGGGCACAGTGGGTGTCCCTTTCCCCCCACCATCAGAAGCTCAGTCGGGCCAGATCTGGGATGGGGGACCCCAGGGAAGCCCCCTCACCTTGGTGGGAAGCCCAGCAGAGATCATGCCAGTCCCTCTTGGAGACATGGGGCCTCTCTCAGACACAGGCGGACTGAGAGAAGGGAGGGCCCCCCCAAGGCATGGGGGTAAGGGGGGGATCACAAAACGCGGCACGGCTGGCTTGTGAGCCTTACCTGGCTCCCCCAGGCCAGGTCTGGGTCCCCCCCTCAGGGTTCCTCCCTTTGCCGGTGCTCCAGGTGGACCCTTCCGGGCAATCCGCCCCTCCCTGCGGAAAAAGAGAAGCGCAAAGGATCCCCGGATTGCAACCAGCCCTCGGGACGGGACCCTTTCCGGGGGCCCGTGTCATAAGGGAAACCTGGGCAGGGGCCCTCTTGGCTGGGAGAGGACAGAGAGGGGAGGGGATGCTCCCCAGCTCCAGACCCCCCCCCTTTCCCTCGGCTGCTGGCCTTCCGTTGGAAAGTGAAGCGCTGGTTGGTGCCCAGACGGACCTCCGGCCTCTGCATGGGGGGGGCGGGGGGGAGCAGAAGCAGGCTTTCACCTGTTCCATGCTTTTTTCCCTTCATTCTGTGGTTTCACGAAAGCCATGAAAGGGGGGGGGCTGTGGCCGCCCAGAAATGCTGGGTGACCCAGAAGGGCAGCAGCCGAGGGGAAAATCTGGACGAGGAGGAGGTGGAGCTGGAAAGGGATGGAGGTGGGGGGTGAGTTCACAAAGCCTCCCTTTCCCAAGGAGGCACCCCGAGGTGGGGGGGGAGCCTCCCCTCCCCTCCGCTCCCCTCCCGGGGCTTGCCCTCCCGCTGCCAGAGGAGGGAGGCGTGCGGGACCTACCTGCCGGCCTTCCTCCCTTGCTCCCGGAAGCCTTTGGCAAAGGGGTTGTTGTAGATCTTGAGCTTGGTGACCTCCAAAGAGGGAGAGACAGGCAGGTTTCGGCTTGGCCGGGGCCAGCGCTTCCCCTCGGCCCCTCCCGCCCTTGCCCTCCTTGGGCAGAGTCCGGTTTATGCCCAAAGGCTTTGCCCAGATCGGACCGAGGGATAAAACCCACCAGGTGACACAGAGCACACCCACCGCCCGCTTCCTTCTGCTCCCACCGGTCTCTACGTGTGCTCCTTGATCTCCCTTCGGTGCAGCTCCGTCCTGCTGGCTCTTCCTTCCTTATGAAACTACTGTCCCCACCCGTCTCCCAGGCTCTTGGAAGGGATGTGCATTCGGGAGCTGTGTTTTCAAAAGAGATCTTGCACGTCTGGATAAAAATCCCACGATTCACTGGATGCCCAAACAGGACTTCCCTCGGCACCGTCCAGGCCTCCGAGTGGGGAGGACTTCTCTGCCTGGAGCATTTGGGCTGGGATCTGCACATGGGGGGGGAGGGGAGCGTGTCCAAGGTGAGGTGAGGGCGGTGCTCCAGCTTTCCTCCTCCAGAAGAGCTAGAGGATCGATCCCCCAGCCGCGGGAAGGCCAACGTGTTCCTCCAGGATCAGGTGGTGGGCTTTGAAATTCCTGGCTTCACCTGCTTCATTTTTAAATAGGGTGTTGGGGCTGACGGGGAGGGGGTGCTGCTGTCGAACCCCTGAGCCGGGTAAGGGTGGGCAGGGAGCAGCCGTCCTTAAGCCCTGATCATCCTCCACCCCAATACAGATGCTAGGACAGAGAAGTGGGGCAGAGACACTCTCCGCTCTTGGCACGGCACCACACACACACACACACACACACACACACACACACACACACACACACACACAGAGAGAGAGAGAGAGAGAGAGAGAGAGAGAGAGAGAGAGAGAGAGAGAGGGGGGGAGAGAGAGAGAGAGACGGGCATCCCTAGACAGAAGTGTGGCCAGGAAGGAGGGGGTCAGATCCTGACCCTCTTTCCTTCCCTCCCTCCCTTGGTGGCTGAGGTGACCTGCAGGTGCACACTCCACACCGCAGAGAGGTGCACCCACCTCCTTGTTTTGGTAGGCGGTGACGGAGGTGAACGCCGTCTCTGGGAAGCTGAAGGTGTGGAAGGCGCTCCAGCCGCCGGCGGGGCCAAAGAGCTCCTCGGCCTGCAGGATGTGGAAACGCGGCTTGTAGCGATGCATCGAGTGGAGGATGACCTGGCGGGGAGGGGGGGGAGAGGTCAGCAGGGAAGGGGGTCCCTGGCAATCTCCGGGCAGGCCAGCCCGCTGAGGCGGTGGGAGGAGGGAGGGACCCCCGAGGGACCCCTTTGGCCATGTCTCGGCACCCAGATCCCCACAGCCCCCCCCACCCCGCACCTACGTGGCCTTGCTGGTCCAGGGTGTTGTTGGTCAGCTTCAGCTTCTGGAAGGAGACCGTCTCCTTCATCCAGTGGCTGCCGGGGGCCGGAGAGTCTGGGTGGACGTAGGTCCGGCAAGGGGGCCGCGGCTCAGCCTTTCCCGCAATTTCCCACTTGTCCTTGTTCCACTGTGGGCGGGGGCGGGCCGGGGGGGGGAAGGAAAGTTGAATGCGACCAAAGAGATCACTTTTCTCTCTCTGAC